TGTACTTACCTACCTTACAAACTACCTACTGTACTACCTATTTACTTACCTACCTTACTACCTACTGTACTACCTATTTACTTACCTACTTATCTTTGTACTTACCTACCTTACAAACTACCTACTGTACTACCTATTTACTTACCTACCTTACTACCTACTGTACTACCTATTTACTTACCTACCTACTGTACTACCTATTTACTTACCTACTTATCTTTGTACTTACCTACCTTACTACTTTACTACCTATTTACCCACCAATCTATTTACCTAACTGTTTTACTTAGCTTCTTATCATTTTACTTGCCTTACCAACTACCTACTTGCTGTTTTTTTACTTACCTACCTATTTATTTAACTACATATTTACCTACTTATTGTTCTACCTAACTACCTATTTATTTATTGACTCATCTATGTTAATGGTTGTAGATGCTCATCTCTGTGTTATTTCCTGACTTTTGTTAAACTGACCAGTGGTTGGTAAGATATTTTGCTAACAGAAGGATTTGATAAATATGTTGGATGACTTCCAGCTACTACCACACCAAATTTGAGCTCAGTGTCTGTGGAAATTACTGAATATTATTATTTGTTACATAATTTCGTAGGTGAACTGATTGTTTTGGTATTAACTTTTTAGTGATTTAAATCAAGGAAACAGAAGAAATTTATTACTTTTAGTAAACTTTGGACAAGGTTTTATACAGAGCTCTATAAAGTAGTTAAAAATAACTAAGTAAAAGTAAAAATACCTTAACAGAAAATGACTTTGGTAAAAATAAATGTCACTGATGAGAAAATTACTTAAGTAAAAGTCATAAAACTTATTGGGAAAGTAGAAGTAAAAGTAGTTTTCCTCACTCTCTAACAAACTGTTAAATTTACTGAACCAAACTGGCTCCACAAAACCAAGTTGATTAAACTGGTCAATTTCTTTAAAATTAAATATATATTTACTGTCTCAAATTTACTCTTCTGGGTTTAGTGGAAATAACAGACATGATTTAGTTGATTAAATTCAACACTAAATGTTTTTAGAGCACATAACTCCTTTCATGATGAGTTCAGACAGATTTAATTTATAACAATTAACCAGGTGTTAAACTTTACAGTAAAGAAGTAAAAGTATCATTTGTAGGTTTTTAAAGTAATGAAATAAAAGTAAAAGTCATGATTTAAAAAAATACTTGGTAAAATTACAAATTCTCAAGAAAATGACTTAAGTACTGAAACAAAGTAAATAGTTATTATCCAGCTCTGGGTTTATGTTTAATTAGTTTTCCAATTATTTTACATGTTTGAAATAAACTTGAACTAATTATAATTAAATGAACAGCAGGACACTAAAAACCTAACATTTACCTGCTCAGTCCTGATTGAACCTGTCGGTCAGTGACCGGATGTGGTTCGGAACACCGGACTCACCTGTAGCTCAGTGACCGGATGTGGTTCGGAACACCGGACTCACCTGTCGGGACGAGTCCGCCTGTCGTCGCGGGTCGGCGGCCGCTGCCCTCCGTTCCTCTCCCGGTGTCCCCGGTTCGAACGGGCCGGTTGACTCATACCTGCTGACCGAAAGTGTCACCGAAACCACCTTTTGAACCACATGAAACCCGCTCACCTGTTTAAAACAAAAACATTTAAAGTGTTTTTATCTTTAAGAACAGGAGAAAAAAACGCAGATTGGCAATCTCAAAAACAGTTTACGCAAAGAAAAAAACTTTTTACGTAAAATACGTTTCGACGCAGGAACGTAAATTAACCAAACACAACACGCTTGTTACGCAAAGTTAGCAAACAAAAGTTACCTTAATTTCTTGAAGTCTGATCAGATCGATGGTTGCAGTTTAAAGTCTAAAGTCCGTCTTTAAAGTCCTTTTTAATCCTTAAACCTCCATCCTGTGTGTCCAGGTAAAAACAAGCAGCTCCACCCTACCTGTAACAGGAGGCGGAAGAGACACCTGCTCAGGTAAAACCAATGACGTGCTCACGATTGAAACCACACGATTTATTATTGTATTTTGTGTTATGGAGCTTCCTGTCCAGCAGGGGGCGCAACCGGAACAAGATCCAAGCACTTCCGGGTCGCTGCTTCGCTTCTGTAAACAAACAAAATGCGGCTAAAAACCTCAGCTCTATGACCCTCTCTAAATAATTTCACATTATTTTATTAACTAAACGTTTGTTCTCTTAGTTCAGAACATTTAAACATTTCCCGGTCATGTTGTTCGTCCCCCGGACCGCCGCGACAACCTGCAGAGCTCTGGCCGCGCTGCGCTGCTTCCGCGCCGGGCACGCCTCTCCGAGAACCGCCGCCACCTACACCCAGGGCCAGAGCCCCGAGCCTCGGATCCGGGAGTACTTCTACTATCTGGACCATCAAGGGCAGGTGAGGGGTTTAAATATACGTGCACGTATCGCGTGTTTTTCACGCGCTAACTCGTCTTTGTGATGTTTCTGCAGCTTTTCCTCGATGACACTAAAGTGAAAAACTTTGTCACCTGCTTCAAAGGTAACATGTTTATTTCTGCTCAATAAACAAACYGCTGAGACAGTTTAGAGCCACGATAAACAATAAAATCACAGGTTCAAATGATAAAACACATTTATTTAAGCTCAATTATTATGTTAAAATTGTTTTTTTTTTTTTTTTCAGACAAACACTTCCTGGTTTTCTTCTTCAGCCGCCTGCGGTCCAATCAGAGCGGGCGTTACGAGGAGGACTTCCCCTTCCTGTCTCCGTGCGGCAGGGAGAGGAACTTCCTGCGCTGCGACGACACACCTGTGGTCTTCACCCACCTGCTGGAGGGCGCCGCCGGGGGACAGGAAGTGCTGTCGTACTGCGGCGGCGCCGAGGCGCTCGCCACGCCTTTCCGACCGGAGGCGCTGTTCATGCATCCCGTCAGCGGGCGGGTCTATCACCCCGGCCCGGGGGGCTCGGGGGGCATCGGACTGGTCAGGTCGGCTCTGGCCATCGAGCTCAGTCCGTTCTTCGTCTACCCGCCGGAGAGCGGCCAATCGGGACAGCCGACTCATTTCCTCTGGAGAGGAGAGACACTCGCGCTGACCAATGAGCTGGCTCGATGCTTCCCCACCGCGGAAGAGGGCGGGCATAAAACCTCCGAAATATGAAAGCAAAACAGACGCCAAAACCAATAACTTTGTAACTAAAACTATTTATTTTGCATTGGAGAGACGCTGAAAATATTTCTTTAATAATAATAAATCCACAACGATGTGAAAAGTCACTATTTTGTTCCGCTAACGGCTAACAGGATAACTATTCGCTTTCTCACTTTAAAAAATGTTAGCGGCACAATTAGCTTCCGTTAAGTTGGGTTTTGCCAACTTTAATTCCGCTAACAGCTAACTAACAAGCTAACATCAGCAGGTTTCTCAGTCCCACCAGTCTTCAGCTCTGAATCGTTTTAGCAGTTAGCTGTTAGCGTCTGCTAACTTTAATTTGTTCATCTGTTTTGCATTAGCTTCTAAAATAACTTAGACATCTTAGCATTTAGCTGTTGGTGTTAGCTTCCACTAATTTTTAGTTGTTAAGCTATTTCTCATTAGCTTTTGCYAAGATGGTTTTAGCGACAGTCTTCTTAACAGTAAGCAAATACCTGCTAATAACTTCCTCTATTTTTAGCTGTTTAGCATTAGCCTTCGTTAGAATGATTAAAGGTTATCAATTAGCTGTTAGCTTCTTCAGATTTTAGTTATAAAGCTGTTTAGCTTATGCTAAGGTCAACTTAGCAATTAGCTGTTGATTTACAGACTTCTGAACAGTTAACCATTAGCTGTTAGCATTAGCTTCTGCTAAGATGATTGACATTTGTCTCACCAGTTAACACGTTAGCTGTTTTAGCTTCCTGTGTTTTAGTTTTTAAAGCTGTTTAGCTTCAGCTAAAATGGATGTGTGCGAGTAATCTTAGTAGTTAGTGTTAACTTAATTTTTGTTAGCATTAGCTTCCGCTAAGACGAKTGACATTCATATCAGCAGTTAGCGATTAGCTGTTAGCTTCCTCTGTTTTTTAGTTGCTAAAGCTGTTTAGCTTCGGCTAAGATGGATGAGTGCACGAGTCATTGTAGCAGTTAGTGTTAACTTAAATTTTATGTTAGCATTAGCTTCCGCTAAGATGATTGACATTCATATCAGCATTTAGYGATTAGCTGTTAGTGTTAGCATCCTTAAATGTTRCGTATCATTTGCTTCCGCTACTTTTTTTGTTTGTTTTTTTGCACGTACAGTAGTGGAGCGAACATTTTGGTTTGCTGTGCCCACCACTGAAGGAGACTGGGGAAAAATTACTTATAACGAATGCTTTAAAATGTAAATATTAATAAGAGGAAGATCCTGATCTGGTTAAAGATTGTAGCTGTTTARGCAAAACCACTCAAAGTTTGGTTCGAATGTGTAAAGATAAATGTAAATTTGTTTAATAAATTTTATTTTTGACTAGGTGTAGCTACGTTCTGCAGGTTTGACCCCAGATGAGCCACTTCCCTGACCCATGCTGGTCCAGGTTGTGGCTAAAGGTTCGGCTGTGCTTTAGGAGCTATTTAGCAGCAGGAGACCCAACCAGACCCACAATCTGTTCACAGAACCACTCGAAGTGGTTCAGGCTCCATGTTCTCACTGGAAACTGTCAATAAAGGTGTTTCAGACCCATTGGGTCCAGATCAGATTATGAACTATTGACCCACAAAAGACGAGCGGACACAACTGTTTTTGTTTTATCAAGTGATTTATTTCTGTTCTGTTTTGTTTTTTTCCATCCTTTAATAACCAGGCGTGTCTGGATCAGGTAAAATTAAGTACGTTGATGGGAAAACTTAATTATGTAAAAAAAAAAAATCATCTTACCTTTTAATTTTACTGCTTTGAATCATGCATTTAAAACTGATTTGCATTTATTTTATATTAAATGGGGGGAAAATGCAAAAAAAAAAAATGGAGGCCATATGTGGCCTGCAGGCCGCCAGTTGAAAAGCTCTGAAATAGATTTTCTTTTTTTTTAAACAAATTACCAAAACAGACTGTTCTTTGGTCCAAACGGATCACAGGACACGGATCAGCCTATAAGATCTGGACTGGTCCCGAGTCCCGGGCTCAGGACTCAGTGGAGCTTCAGGGAACTGCAGGAACCACAGAGCCTTGGACCAACATGGCAGCCCCCGGCAGAACCACCGGGACCACGGAGCGTTCGGTCCGGGACCGGGTCCCTCCGCTGCTCACCGACCTGTACCAGTTCACCATGGCCTACGCGTACTGGCGGGCCGGTCGGAACCAGGAACCGGCCGTGTTCGAGCTCTTCTTCAGGGACAACCCGTTCGGCGGCGGCTTCTCGCTGTTCGCGGGACTCCAGGACTGTCTGCTGTTCCTGCGCGGCTTCCGCTTCACGGACCAGGGTGAGGTTCGGCCAGTGTTCTGACACCAACCACGGTAAAACYACCGGGCCGGTACCGGAACCAGGTGTACCTCCTTCACGCTTTAAACCGGCGGCGAGAAAAGAGGAAGATCCGCAGAGGAGCTGATCCAGCTGCAGGATTCAACCGAACTTTGACCTTTTACCTTTGACCTTTCAGCTAGCATGTTGCTAGCTGCTATTAGCTAACYGTTTATTATTGTTAGCTTTTACCAAGCATTTCGCTATTTTTAATTCTAAGCTATACCTTTTGCTTTCAGCTAGCCGTTTACTATATTTATCTACCATTTTGCTACATTTAGCTGTCAGCTAGCATTTAGCTACTTTTGGCTTTCAGCCAAAGTTTTGGTTATTTTAGTAAACACTTTTCTGCTTTTAGCTAACAGTCTATATTTACCTTTTACCTAGCCTTCTGCTACTTTTAATTCTAACCTAGCCTTTTAGCTTTCAGCTAGCCATTTAATATATCTACTTTTTTGCTAAATTTAGCTTTCAGCTAGTCTTTTGCTATTTTTGTCTTTCAGCCAATGGTACGCTAGATTTAACTAAAGCCTTCTGCTGCTTTTAACTCTAACCTACCCTTCTAGCTTTCATCTAGCCATTTACTACCATTTTGCTAAATATAGCAAACATAACTTATAGTCTTCTGCCACTTTTGGATTTCAGCCAATGTTTTGGTTATTTTAGTGAACACCGTCTGCTTTTAGCTAACAGTCTATATTTAGCTTTTACATAGCCTTCTGCTGCTTTTAACTCTAACCTAGCCTTTTAGCTTTCAGCTAGCCATTTACTATATTTATCTACCCTTTTGCTACATTTAGCTGTCAGCTAGCATTTAGCTACTTTTGGCTTTCARCCAATGTTTTGGTTATTTTAGTAAACACTTTTCTGTTTTTCTCTAGCAATCTAGATTTAGCTTTTACCTAGCCTTCTGCTACTTTTAATTCTAACCTAGCCTTTTAGCTTTCAGCTAGCCATTTACTATATTTATCTACCATTTTGCTAAATTTAGCTGTCAGCTAGCATTTAGCTACTTTTTCTCTTTCATCCAATGTTTTGGTTATTTTAGTGAACACTCCTGCTTTTAGCTAACAGTCTATATTTAGCTTTTACATAGCCTTCTGCTACTTTTAATTCTAACTTAGCCTTTTAGCTTTCAGCTAGCCATTTACTATATTTATCTACTATTTTGCTAATCTAGCTTTCAGCTGGTCTTTTGCTATTTTTGGCTTTCAGCCAGTGTTATGCTACTTTTAGCTAAGACTTTTCTGCRTTTAGCTAGCAGTTTATATTTAGTTTTTACCTATCCTTCTGCTACTTTTAATTCAAAACTAGCCCTTTAGCTTTCATCTAGCCATTTACTACCATTTTGCTAAATGTAGCCTTTAGTTAGTCTTTTGCCACTTTTGGCTTTCAGCCAATGTTTTGCTAGTTTTAACTAAGACTTTTCTGCTTTTAGCTAGCAGTTTCTTAATTTTAACATTTACCTAGCCTTTGGCTATTTTAAGTGCCATGTAGGTTTTTGCTACATTTAGCTCTCTGATAGCCTTTTGCTAATGTTTGCTTTCAGCCAGTGTTTTGTTATTTTTGGCAAACACTGCTTAGTACGGTTCCTTATTTTTAGCTTTCACGTAGCCCTTAGCTACTTTTAAGTGCTTTTAAGTGGCTACACGTAGCTTTCAACTAGCCTCTTGCTATGTTTTGCTTTGAGCCAATGTTTTGCTAGTTTTAGCTAACACTTTTCTACTTTTAGCTTTTTTATTTTTTTACTTTTTAGTTTATTTTTAGCTTTTACCTCCTGCTACTTTTAATTCTTAGCTAGGCTTTTAGTTTTCAGGTAGCCTTTTACTATATTTATCTACTCTTTTGCTACTTTTGGCTTTCAGCTAACATTTTTCTGCTTTTAGCTAGCAGTTTCTTATTTTTCTTATTTTTAGCCCTTAACTACTTTAAGCGCTAGTCTACTTTAAGTGGTAGTCTTTAGCTACATGTAACTTTCAGCTAGCCTTTTTGTAGTTTGGGCATTTATTCAGTGTTTTGCTTGTTTTAGCTGACACTTTTCTGCCTTTAGCTTTTTTTTTTCTTGTAGCTTTTACATATTTCTTACATAGCTTTTTGCTGGCTTTTTGCATGTAGCTTTCAGCAACTTGTGCGATACTTTTGTTACTTTTAGCTTTCTGTTTGCTTTTTTATTTGAATTAGTCTTTTCTTACATTTAGCTTTTAGCTAGCCTTGTGCAAATTTAAACTTTTGCTAGTTTGAGCTAGCATTTTTCTGCTTTTGTCCAACCTCGTTCTTTGAGCTCTTACCTAGTCTTTCACTACTTTTACCTGTTAGCTCACCTTTTTATGTTTTTAGCTCTTAGCTAGCCTGTTAAATTTTTCAGCTAATCCTTTAGCTAGCCTTTTATTGCYAGCTCTATCTATTAGCTAATGTTTTGCTTGTTTGAAGTAGTATTTTGCTGCTTATTAGGCTTCCATACTTTTCTCTCTTAAGTTTTAACTAGCTTGTTGCTAACTTTAGTTAGCAGGTCAGTGTTGATGTGCAGTTARCTTTGACCTTTGACCCCAGCCTCAGCTGGAGCACGAGGTTCTGCTCAGATTAAGAGGCTCACAGGAGGAAACAGAAACGTTTACTGACAGATTATCCTGCAGGAATTCCAGAAAGCAGTACTACTTGTAGAGTACTGCAGAGTACTGTGTATTAAAGTACTTTGGATTAGATAATCTGACGTGTTTCTTCGGCTGTTTTCTGAGCCTGCCGTGTGTTTGTGGGTCCAGACGTGGAGTTCCTGCGCTCCGTCCTGCCCGCCACCACAGACCCCGCCTTCTTCCAGTACCTGCTGGACCTGGACTGCTCGGCCGTGACGCTGCGCTCCGTCCCCGAGGGCTCGGTGGCGTTCGCCAGGGTAAGTCAGCTGTTACAGGAAGTGCGGGGGGTGTGTGACAGGAAGTGACAGGCGTGTAACACCCGCAGGTGCCTCTGATGGAGGTGGAGGGTCCGCTGGCCGTGGTTCAGCTGCTGGAGACCAGTTTACTCTGTCTGGTCAACTATGCCAGGTAACAACCTGGAAAAGATGAGACCGATGGAGTTTGTAATATTTGAAATATTTTTATTTATTGTGAATTTGTGGATAACGTTAATCTGTGTCCTCAGCCTGGTCTGCAGTAACGCAGCTCGGTTCCGCCTGGCAGCCGGACCGGACAGGAAGCTGCTGGAGATGGGGCTCCGCCGGGCGCAGGGACCAGACGGAGGCCTGACCGCCTCCAGATACACACACATCGGAGGTGAGCGCCGTGTGTATGTGGGCGGTTTGTGCTCCTGGGTCCATCGTTTGCTCATTTCTCCATCTTCCAGGGTTCGATCTGACCAGCAACGTTCAGGCCGGCTTCCTGTTTGGGATCCCCGTGGTCGGGACCATGGCACACTCCTACGTCACCTCCTTCACCTCCCTGGAGGAGGTGTGGCCACAGGTAACACGCCCCCACTCGATCTTATTCAAAAGTGTCTGCAGTTTACCCTTCTTTAGCTTTTAGCTACTGTCTTGCTATGTTCGGTTTTTAGCTATTATATACAGATTTTTATTTTTTAGCTTCAGTTTTGCTAAATTAAACTTTGAAGGTACTGTTTTTTAATTTTATCTTTTAGATAATGTTTGGCTACATTGTTAGCTTTTAGCTAATGTCTATCAATTTTATTTTGTAGCTATCCTTGAATTTTAGTTGTTAATCTACAGTTCAGCTAATTTTAGAATTTAGCTATAGTTTAGCGAATTTCAGTTTAGCTTTAGTTTAGCAAATTTTAGCTTTTTGTAACTGGTTTGTTAATTTAGCTACTGTTTTGTTGCTTTAGTTTTTTAACTAAAGTTTTTCTAAATGTAGCTTATAGCTACAATTTTATTATTTCTGCTTTTTGCTACAGTTTAGCTAATTTTAGCTTCTGGTACAATTTTTTTATTTTAGCATTCGGCAACTGTTTTGTCTTTTTAGCTTTTTTAAGTAGAGTTTTACTAAATATAGCTTTTAGGCACTTTTTTGCTAATTTTAGCTTATATTTGTTTTTCTAGTTTTAGCTTATGTTCAGTTTTGTTCGTTTTAGCCTCAGTTCTTCATGTTTAGGTTTCAGCTGTTTATTCATAGGTTTCAGCTGTGGTTTAGCTGTTTATCCTTAGGTTTCAGCTCTGGTTCAGCTGTTTATCCTTAGGTTTCAGCTGTGGTTCAGCTGTTTATCCTGTCGTTTGCTCGTCTCAGACCCTGGCGCCGGCGAGCGGCGGCGACCCGGTCCAGGTGGTGTCGGTGATCAAAGGCTGGCTGATTCAGGTCTGTGAGCTCCTGGGAGCTGAGCCCTCCAGGATCCATGAGGGCGAGCTGGCAGCCTTCTCATCTTACGCCATCGCCTACCCCCAGAACTTCCTCCCTGTGATTGACAGCTACAGTGTGGGCGGGTCAGTCCTGCTGGAATCCAGACTTTTAATTGGACCAGAACAGAAGTCCTCCTGAAGCGCCGACTGATGGTGTGTTTCTCTGTGTTTAGCAGCGGGCTGTTGAACTTCTGCGCCGTGGCGTTGATGCTGTGTGACCTGGGCTACAGACCCGTGGGGGTCCGTCTGGACAGCGGGGACCTCTGCAGGCAGTCCGTGGAGGTCCGCCGGGTCTTCAGACTCTGCGGCGAGCAGTGAGTCCGGTGTGCCGCGCTGCACGTCTCCTCTCTTTGATTCGACTCCTCTGACCTGACAGGCTTATTGTCAGGGTGATGAGTCWGCATTTTTGGCTAAATAGTTTGCTAGTTTTAATTAGCATTTGACTACTTCGGGTTTTGACTAACATTTTGATATTTTTAGCTAAAGTTTTACCATGTTTTAGCTGGTATTTTGGTAGTTTCAGCTAGTGTATTGTTAATTTTGGCTAGCAGTTTGTTGTTTTTAGCTAATGTCTTGTTTTTTCAACTAGCTTTTTGTTACTTTCAGTTGGTGTTTTACTTTATTTAGCTAATGTTTAACTAGTTTTAGTTACCGTAGTATTTTGTTACTTTTGACTGGCGGTTTGCTATTTAAGCTGATACTTTATCATTTATGCCTGTGTTTTGTTAGTTTCAGTTAGTGTATTGTTACATTGAGCCGGCGTTTTGATATTTTAACTAACGTTTTGACACTTTTGGTTAGTATTTTGCCAGTATCAGCTAGCCTTTTGTTACTTTTGACTAGCTGATTTCTGGTTTAAGCTGATAATTTACCATTTTAGACCTTTATTTAGCTGTTTCATCTAGTGTATTATTGCTTTTGTTTATCAGTTTGCTTTATTTAACTATTGCTTTGCTAGTTGAAACTAACCTCTTGCTTCTTTTGGCTAGCCGTTTGCTTTGTGTTATATTTTGCTAGTTTTAGTTAGCGTTTTGTTACTTTTGGCCACCAGTTTGGTAAAAGTTTTGATACTAAAGGTATACTTGTTTCAACTAACCTTTTGCTTCTTTTGGGTAGCAGTTTGCTTTGTTTAGCTACTTTTATTTAGTGGTATGCTATTTCTGGCTAGCGGTTTGCTTTGTTTAGCTAATTTTATTTAACGTTATGTTACTTTTGGCTAGCGGTGTGCTTTGTTTAGCTAATTTTATTTAACGTTGTTACTTTTGGCTAGCGGTGTGCTTTGTTTAGCTAATTTTATTTA